AGACATGAGGACACAGCTTAAAAGGGACATAGCCCCCCAAAAGACACAAAGTCACTTCCTGTCTGCAGGAGAGGGAATAGCTTTGGAGTTCCCCAAAAAGGACAGAGTCCCCAAAAACAGACACAACCCCACTCCTGCCCAGCATGGGGGTTCACAGCTCTAGAGAACCCCAAAAGGGACAGGGGGACACAGCTCCAAAACCCCTAAAACAGACACAGCACCCCAAAAGGGACAGGGGGACTCAGCTCCAAAACCCCTAAAACAGACACAGCACCCCAAAAGGAACAGGGGGATAAAGCTCCAAAATCCCTAAAACAGACACAGCACCCCAAAAGGGACAGGGGGGGACAGCTCCAAAACCCCTAAAATAGACACAGCACCCCAAAAGGGACAGGGGGACACAGCACCAAAACCCCTAAAATAGACACAGCACCCCAAAAGGGACAGGGGGACACAGCACCAAAACCCCTAAAACAGACACTGCACCTCCAAAGGGACAGGGGGACACAGCTCTAGAACCCTATAAAATAGACACAGCACCCCAAAAGGGTCAGGGGGACACAAGTCTAGAACCCTATAAAATAGACACAGCACCTCTAAAGGGACAGGGGGACACACAGCTCTAGAGCCCCCCAAAAGACACAGGGACCCCCAAAACAGACACAGCTTCCCAGAAGGGACCTGCGAACACACAGCTCTAGAGCCCCCCAAAAGGAACAGCTGCCGGGGTGAGGGGCACAGCTCTGGAGCCCCCCAAAAACGCCACCTCCGTCCCCGCAGCCCATTAACGTCGCATCGCGCCTTCACGAGGCAGCGGGAAATGGATCCCGCGGTGTTTATGTAACAGCCCCCCCCCCATACCCACCCACCCCCCCATTTCGGGGAGCCCCAGCAGCACCGAGGGGTGTCCGGGAAGGGGGATAACCGGAGGAGGGGGTGGGACACGCTGYCACCCCCTCGGGGTCCTCGGGGATACGGAGCCACCAGCACCGCACCCGGGACTGCGGGGGACGCGGAGCGGGGGGACGGAAGAAGGGGGTCAGTGGGGTGGGGGGACCCGGGATGTGCCTCCCCCTTCACCCCCTCATCCCGACCCCCCAAAGGCCTCCGAGGGGTTTCGCAGCCCAGACGCTCCGTGCACAGAATAGCAAAGAGGCTGCGCCAGCGCATCGCCATGGCAACCGGGGACCGGCGAGGACCCCCCCCGAGCCGGGGGGGACACTGCAGCACCGGGCAGGGATGCCCCGACCTCTCCGACCCCCCAAACTCTTCGGGGTGCCCGGGGAAGGGCAACACAGGGATGTGCCATAATCCTCACAATTCTCACAGGCAGGAGGCGGGGAGAACCCTGGAGCCCAYCCGGGGGGGCTCAATGGTGTGGGGATCCCCCCCAAAGAGGGGGTTCAGCCCCCCGTGACCCCCGCAGTGTGGCTGTGCCGCCCACCGTCAGGTCGGTCCCTGGGGAGCACCTGCGCCCCCCTCACCCAGGGATGTGACCCTAAACCTGCAGCCCCCTCAAGGTGGCCACAAAGCTTCCCCCCGCCACTGCAGGAACCCCAAAACACCCCCGGGTTCCCCAATACACCACCGAGACCCCACTACGGCCACCAACGCCCCTCCCGCCCGCGCCGCAGGTCCCCCCAAACACCCCCGGGACGCCAATGCACCCCACTGCAGCGACCCCCGTTCAGTGCAGCCTCCCAACCCTAAGCCTGACACCATTCCCGAACCCCTAAACCACCTTCCCCAGCAAACAACCCAATCACCCTCTCCGGAACCGGGGGCGCACCGGGTCCCCTCCACCGGTATCAAAGCCCCCGCCAGCCCCGTGAACATGCACCACGCGTGTCACCCCCCCCCCCGGTACCGGAGGTGTCCCAGAGGCTCAGTTCCACCCGCTGCTCCTCGTTGGCCAGACACGCCGTGTAGTTCTCAAACACGGTGGGCACGTACGTCTGCAACGGCACCGAGAGGCGTCAGCGCCCGGTGCCTCTGCCGGTACCCGCTGCCAGCGCCCGCCGCCGACCCGGGCTCACCTCGGGGTAGCAATCCTTGGCCAGCACTTGCAGCATGGCCGTCTTGCCGCACTGCACGTCGCCCACCAGCACCAGCTTGCACCGGGCCGGAGCGGCCGGTACCGGCCTCCGTTCCCGCATGGCGGCGGCGCGCACGGAACACCCGCGCTCCCGCCCGCCCACCGCCCTGCGCCCCGCCGCCGCAGCGCCCTTATATACCCCGCCGGCTCCAGGGCCCGCCCACGGCGGATCCTCTCCACCAATCACCGCGGGGACTCCCGGAGACCCGGCCAATAGGAAAGAAGCAGAGCGGGCGGGACACGCCCCTTGAGGGGGTGCGAGCGCGCTGTTGTCCGCCAGGGGGCGCCCGTGCGGGTCAGGGCGGAAGTGCCGCGTAGGCCCCGCCCCCGASCAGAAATGGCCGTTGCTGGGAGACCGGAGGGACGCGGGAGCGGGGCCGGTACCGGGGGGCGGGACCCCCAAATT